GTTTGGCTGCTGAGCTCTTTCCCACCAGGAGACTAGAATTTGGGAAATTTTTGAGAGGCGCTGAGAGGCAAAGGACCACCTTGAGATTCACCTGAATACTGGAACCGGGGGGGAGGGTTAAAGCCTGGGGGGCGGAGTCTAACTGGCTCTATTAAAGTAATGCTAGCATTTATAAATGAAACACGTTTTAAGTTTCATTAATGCTTCTTCATATAAATGAAGCATAAAGTATGTCCTAAATCGGAGGGACTCATTTTGCTATGAACTGACTCCAAATGAAGCCTTTCTAATGGTCGAACAGGAGCTCTCACTGGTCGTACTGGGAGACTTTCATAACCTGGCAGCAGCAGGATGGATGTGATTGAATTCAATCTATCAATCATGGCTGCTGCCCAGTCTGTCTGTGAAACGGAGGGACGTTTAGTACAATGCTTCCAGCTGATTGGGTGACGTGCCAGCTAGTGCCCGCCTTTCGTAAAATGCTCTCAGCCAATCGTAGCCGCAAAACGAAACACAAGCTGATAAATCAAACCTTTTCCAAATGCTGTCGGAAGAAAAGCACAGACTTTCCCATCTAGAAATGCACAAAGTGCTTCTCTGCTCCTTTTTTCACGAGAAATTGTCGCTATTTTAGCTAAAATCGCAGAAACGAGGGGTGAGTCCTCCAGCGTAGCTATTTTAGTGCCCAGCCTAGGCCCTTCTGACTGTTGTCATTCCTAAATGCCCCGCCCCCAAAAACACTGCTGGCATGTCATTGGTGGTTAGGAGACGGACATGTTAGCGGCAGTCTTTCAAGATGGATTTGTTGTGAGACTGAAAACTCAGATTTCACAACAATCCAGGTTAAGAGCGTTGCGCCTTTGGATAAAAGGAGCCGGATGTTCTTTCCTTTCGCAGAACGGAACCGGATCCAGAATCCAAGAAACAAGGAATCAGGGGGAGCAGTGAGAACAGGGCAGTCTTAAAGGGACACGGCCTGAGCATCTTAAAGGGTTAATGCTGCACCGATCCGGAGGGGGGGGGGGGCACAGTAGGTCAAGATCATTGAACCAAACAGACAAAAAGGAGAGGGGGGGGGGGGGGGCTTTCAGTTCAGTTTCTCGGATTTTTCTCATTTCTGTTCATGTATGTTTTATGAGAAAAGACGAAACACAAAGCAGAGAAATGGAACGAGACAGAAACCTGTAGAGCAGGACATTAATGGGGGGGCAGCAGAGAGGGGCGCGGGTGAAGTCATCAGGGTGGGTGGAGCAGTGCGCTTGGCAGGGTGGGGGGGTCAGAATGAACACTGAGTCTGAAGCTGTTCTGGGTTTGCTGGGGGTCCCAGCCCCACCCTGACTGTTCAGGGATTAGATGGGGGGGGAGGCTTGGTGGGGTTGAGGGGAGCCCCCCCCCCCGTTCCTTTTTTCAGAGCTAGTTTGGAGGGAGACTGGATGGAAATGTCCTCAGCCCTTCCCTCCCTCCCAGACCCGTTATAAGGACGTCTCCACGCAGAAGAGGTGTGCAGGGTGGGGGGCGGGGGGCTCCGCAGGCCGGGGCCTCCCAGGGAGGTTGTGGTGATGTTTGTGGGTCGTTTTGTTGCTGCTGTTTCTGTAGCTGCGGGGGCCCGGTGAGCTGCTGCTGCTGTTGTTGTTGTTGTTCCGGTTACACGGGGTCACTGGAAGGCTGTGCTGGCGGTAGGGCCGGGTCGGCCTGGTGCGGGCCGGGGGCTGGGCCGGAGGAGGCGGCGGTTTGCGGAGGGCCGGGTGCAGGTGCTGGTATCTGCTGAGCTCTGATTCGTCGTCCACGTCAGTGTCATCGATCAGCGGGATGTTATGGATGAGGTCGTTGATGAGGAACTCTGGGTGGGCCATGAAGTTGTGGATAGAGTTGCGGGATTCCGGCTTCTCCCGGCCCTCGTACAGCGAGCTACGGAAGGCTTTCACCACTCGCATCTGCCGGGGGTGAACAAACATGAGGGAAAGAGGGAGAAACAAGGAGAGAGTCAGATATGAGGGCCCACAAAAGGAGGCGAGGGAAACCCAGAAACAGACCGACTCGTTTCCTCCAGGAGACAGAAAGACGGACAGGTGGACACGGAGGACCAGGTGGACACAGGTCAGCAAAGGTCACAAGGTCTTCCAATCAGGTTTCATCTGGTTTACAATAGCGTCAAACAGGAAATCTGATAATAATGGAACCAATTTCTCATTTTCTAAATTGTTATTGAAGCTTTTGCAAACATAGAGTTACATCTGATAGAAATGCAGAGGGATTAAATATAGAACAATAAGTATAGAAGGTATTTCTAGTGTTTCATTTTAAATAACTCAGGAAAAAGACATTTCCTCCGCAACATCCAATTGATAAATAAAAAGAAACATTAAATTACAACATTCTTCAATTCAACTGAGAAGTTCTTCACCATCTATGTTGTAAATATCTGTAGTTAAATCTTTAAATAAAGGATGAAGCTTCCAGTTGTTTTATTTGATGCACTTTATTATACTATAAAAACAGGATTATGCTTATTCTTTAGTTTTCTTGCTTTTTATGAGGTGAAAGTGTCGATATAAAGCTAATAAAAGTGATTCTGAAATCACTGTGATTATATTTAAAGGTATAGTGGAGAAATTTCGTAAATTTTTTAAAAGCTGCATCTCCACTGTTAAAAAAAATGTACATGCACAACCCTGCAGCCGCTCCCAGAGCCAACGCCTATTAAACACATTCCAGAGCGTGCAGGAGTCCATTTCTCTTTGTGTTCGCTCTGTTTAATAGTTACTGTTTGCATCGATGGACTGGTGACCTGTCCAGGGTGGACCCCACCTCTCGCCCATGGACAGCTGCCGATCGGCACCAGCACCCCCTGATGGAAAATAGATGGATGTTTGCATTGTTCAAACATACGTTGATCCTCCAAGGACCCGGTCTATCTGGACTGGATCCTCCCAGGACCGGTCTATCTGGACTGGATACTCCCAGGACCTGTTCTACCTGGACTGGATCCTCCCAGGACCCGGTCTACCTGGACTAGATCCTCCCAGAACCCGGTCTATCTGGACTGGGTATTCCAAGGACCTGGTCTACCTGGACTGGATCCTACAAGGACCCGGTCTATCTGGACTAGATACTCCAAGGACCCGGTCTATCTGGACTGGATCCTCCAAGGACCCGGTCTACCTGGACTGGATCCTCCCAGGACCCGGTCTATCTGGACTGGATCCTCCAAGGACCCG